ACTGGAGTCTGAGAAGATGACAGTCCCTGCGTGATTAATAAAGATCACAGGACACTTTAGAAATTCTACATGGGTGAAGAAGAGGATCAGAAAGAAATGCACTTGAAAGAGCTCAATGTTTCTAGTGCCACAGAGCACTGTGTGCAAAAACATTCCGGAAACACAGAATCGGGCAACTTCAGAGCTGGACAGGACCTTGGAGATAATTTGAGTCGTCTCCTCCTGCATTTTATATACAAGGCAGAGAACTAAATGACTTGCCCAAGGTCACCCAGCTGGCTGGCAACAGGGCACTTCTCATGGCTCCCCCCACCCTTGCAAAATGTTAGAACTGTTGAAAAAACACAACAAGGGACCACATCAATCGGACAGACCCCTAGGTGGCTCTGATAGTTTCCTATCTGTGTCTTTTGTCTCTACTGGTGATAAAGAGTTCTCATTTTATTTCCATGACTTCCTAGGGTCCAACGCGATGACTGCCTTATCTGAGGAAGGACCATATGTCCTGAGAGTAGCGATTCCTAAGCTGGACTGTCTGAGTCCATAACACCAACCAGACGTGCGACTTTCAACAAAAATTGCCCATTCTGGGCCTGGGCTTCCCTCTCTGTAGAATGAGGAAAATAATAGTACCTACCTCCTAGGGTTGTTAGGAGGATTCAAAGGGTTAGTCAACATGAGACACAAAGAACACACAGCACCTGCAAGCTCAGCTGCTATTATTCTATTAGTATTCAGGAAGGTGCTCTTAGCCGCTTCTGCGCATGCTACCTGGGCATGAACAGGAATGACAATTCTCAGGTAAACCCAGGCAAGAAAGACAAAATATCAGAACCTTCCTTGGGATGAGGACTAAGGGAAGGAAGGAAAGAAGAGTAAATTCCAAGGGGAGGTGAGGCTGGGAACAGAGCCCTGCAGAAAAATCTCTGAAGCTTTGGAAGACAGTGCCACCACGGCCCTACACACCTGCTGGAATACTCCCCAGTAGGATCATCCGGGCACCTGCAGGTGGAAAATCTGTGTGCCCACTCCTTGCTACAGCATATTAGCCAAGGAGCCCTGCTCCAGGGGACCGACATGTGGCCCTCTTTCCCCTTATGCACCCGAGTGGTCTGAGAGCTCTGGATCAGAGGTGTCACCAATGTCCAGGTCACCGGGCCCCTGACCTTGAGGGTGACAGCCTCTCTCCTGGAGGCTTCCTGCATCTGCCCTTACAACACTTTAGGCGCAGCCCCGGCACTGTGCTTAGGACACTGTGTTGTCACTGTTTCATTCCACCCCCCTGCTATGCCTGCTGAAAGCAGGACCAGGCAGGTATGTGACACAAGGGCCATCTCAATGGACCATTCCAGGGTGACACACACCAAACAAGGGCTGCCCTGGCAAGGGTGCTACTGCACTGCCACCAAATGCGCTGAGACTCTTAAGACCTTCTAAGCGCCAGCGCCGCGGCTCAATAGGCTAATCCTCCGCCTAGCGGCACCGGCACACCGGGTTCTAGTCCCGGTCGGGGCGCCGGATTCTGTCCCGGTTGCCCCTCTTCCAGGCCAGCTCTCTGCTGTGGCCAGGGAGTGCAGTGGAGGATGGCCCAAGTGCTTGGGCCCTGCACCCCATGGGAGACCAGGAGAAGCACCTGGCTCCTGCCTGTGCACCAGCCGCAGCACGCTGGCTGTGGCGGCCATTGGAGGGTGAACCAACGGCAAAGGAAGACCTTTCTCTCTGTCTCTCTCACTGTCCACTCTGCCTGTAAAAAAAAAAAAAAAAAAAAAAAAAAACCTTCTAAGAGCAAATACACTCTATTATTGCCAGCATGGACCGCTCCTCTTCCCCCACTCCCACAAAAAGGAAAGAGAACACACATGAGGTTCCGAGGCTAGCTCCTTTGCCACTGCTGGAACAGGGAACAAACACCAGTGCAGAAATCCTCACAGAAGCTGCACATGTGAACAAGGAGGATGGAGCGCAGCCCAAGGCCTGGGAGACAGGGAGGGACGCCCCCCCACTTCTGAGGCTTCTTTTCAGAGTGTGCATGCCTGATCGCTTGTGGGAGAGATCCAGGTGGTGGGGCAGGGAGAGGAGTGTCTTGTAAGCTCCTTGAAGGCAGGGATAGTTTTACGCTTCATTTCATGCTCCAATTCTGTTCCATCACAGGGTTGAAAGCAACATCTGAGTGAGTGGTGTATCGATACGGGGTAGGGGACAAAGGGAAACAAAGAACTACGTGCAGAGTGTAGAACGTGCACCTGGAAACTCGCCGCAACCCCAGAGAGGAAAGTACTCACTGTGTGATTTTCAATCCAGTGCGAAATTCACACAAATGGAACTCACTTCTAGGCGGAGGACTCGGGACCCTCCCAGGGAAACATCCACCAGCAATGCAGCCCTCTTTCCCACCCGAGGCCCTGATGGCCAAGGCCCACCAAGCTGTCCAGCCTCCTCACTCTAGCCCTTGTGTACCACATTCTGTCTCACGTTATGTTCAACAGAAATTAGACGCTCCCTCGAAAAAGCAACAATACCCCGGGTAAAGTGCTTAAGCACTTAAGCAAAGGAAATTATATTTTGGTGGAAAATGCAAATGTTACATTACATACTCAGTAATTGCCATATTTATATCTTTCATACTGACCCATCTTGTCAGAGCAGGGGAATCAGTGTCAGGAATGAACCCTTCACTGATTTAAACAGGATTCAAAGCTATATATTATGTATAATAATAGTCCTCTTCCACTATTACATAAACATAAAATATTATCTGCCATCCATTCCTGAGACATTATCACAATCTGAGCTAATACAGTGAATTCAACTCAAGTCCCTGAGAGAAAAGAACTACAATTACTATTTAGCAAGTGTCTGGTCCACTCTGCTTGTCTCAGAAATGCAGTCTATGAAACTTTTCATGGAGGACACTGTGGAACGGTTGTGTCGCGTGACACGTGCACATATCTTTGAAGCTTTCATATCCCTGACATCTAAAATCAGACTTTGTGTTCTTTTACGTAGACAGGAGTTAATATCTAGTAATACTCAAGCATTTCTATACAAACACATACTCAAACATCTGGATTTGGGAGAGGTAAATGACATGACTTTGTGAGCGGATCTGGAGGCAGCAGCTAGAGGCAGCAGTTATGAATGTGCGTGGCTACGGACACACCACTGGAGGTAAGACACCTTTGCTAGCTCGGGCTCCATGGAGTTGCAGGAGAGAGAGCCAAGAAGAGAAGAGAGGCATGGGGCGGGGTGGGGGTGGGGGGGCCGCCGTGGCGCAGTAGGTCAATCCTCCGCTTGCAGCACCAGCATCCAATATAGGCGCTGGTTCTAGTCCCAGCAGCTCTCTGCTATTGCCTGGGAAAACAGTAGAAGTTGGCCCAAGTCCTTGGGCCCCTGCACACACATGGGAGACCAGGAAGAAGCACCTGGCTCCTGGCTTCGGATCAGAGCAGCTCCAGCTGTTGCAGCCATTTGGGGAGTGAACCAGCGGATGGAAGACCTCTGTCTCTCCCTCGCAATGTCTGTAACTCTAACTCTCAAATAAAATAAATAAAATCTTAAAAAAAAAAAAAAAAAAAGGAAGAGGGAAGAGCAGGTCAGGCAGCAGGATTAACAATCAAAACTGAAGAATAGGAATTCCTCTCTCTAACAGTCAGAGCACTGATCTCACCTCCAGCACTGTTTAAGTTGCAAGATTATTTATTTTAAAAGAAAAACAGTGGAGACCATGACAAATCAAAAAACAAGAACCCATACTCTAGGATGTAAACGGAAGGTTGCCATTCTATCACCCAGAGAGCTTGATGAGTTTGAGAGACCCTCAACTAGAAGACACCTTAGTAGGACTATGCATGTAGCCATCTCTCATTCACGAGATGAATAAATAAAACAGCGAACCTTTACCAAGTCCTTACTAAGTGTGAAGTACTATGTGAGGCATACATCAACCACTGGATCTTCCAAAAACTCTTGGAAGTAGAAAGCATCATTGTCCACATTTTACTAACAGGAAGTAACGTGCCAAACTACACATCCAGGAAATGGCAGAATCTGGGCTCACACCTGGCTGGCCGACTCCACACCCAGCCCTTACAGCCATTTCAGCAAGGAGTGAGGGCATGAGGGAGTGACTGGGTGCAAACGCCAGGCCAGTTGTTTCTAACATGTGACTTCAGAGCCATGGAGAACAGCCCTGTGAGCAAACCACGGCTCAACAAAACCATGCTTCACACACACACCCTGGACGCCACTTCCCAACACTCTGATCTACAGCCTCCCTTTGCAGAGATCCAAAGCCAAGACTAAGGTTGGTTTCTCAGCTGTCTTGCCCAGGCCCCTGGGGGACCATGTGACAAGACTGTGTGGCAGGGGTCTAGGTACGGGACTGCAGGAGCTTCCTGTGGGCCCCCTGGTGCTTCCCACTGTGAGAGAAACATTGGCCCTGATGTCCTAGCAACATTCCAACCTGGGCACAGACTTTACATGAAGTTCAGAGTTTCAGTTGGTGACACTTCCTGCTCCTCACTGTTGAGACTGTCTTGAACTTTGTGTCCCTGAGGTGTCTGAACTTGGGTATTATATTGCCCCTAAGGCTCAGTGACTACATTGTCCAAGCCAGGAGCAGAGGCCCAAGTCTGATAAACCCAGGTCTACCAAAGGGGACAAAGACACAAGTCATTCAAAGTCAGGACTGTCTGAGAGGCAGCACAGCATTAAGCCTATGACAAATTGAACATGACATGCATATTTTATGAGTGTATTTCTCCCCTGCCTTCTGCTTCTCACCAATCCTCTCTCTTGATTTCTCAAGTCCTCATTTAAGGATGCAAAACTGGAAGACATTTAGGTCTGTTAAACCTATATTCATTTACCTAAGGCTCTGTTCAACTCTTAGATCCCAGATGAAATTCTTTTCCTCGCCCAGTTGAATTCTGTCTTCCTGCATTGGAGAAATGTGCCATTTCAAAAGCCTTGGTTTTTTCTTTTTCTCTCTCTTTCTCTCTCTCTCTCTTTTTTCTTTTTTTTTTTTTTTTTTTTTTTTTTGCTTTATAGGAATGCTGAGGAAGAGGTCCAGGAAAGCAATACTGCAGCATTTTTCAATCAGTCATCTGGGGGATTCGTGACCTTACAAAAATTTCTAGTGGTTTCTGACATCCAGCTTCCTCTCTTCCTGCAACCCTTGCCTTCTCCCCAGGGTCTGCCACATGTTTTCAGACAAGCAACGGAGCTGCTGAAGAATTAAAAGATGAGATAGGTGAAATGTCCAACAGGCACAACAGAATTTTTATTTCAAACCTGCAGCATTCTACCCGGAACAGCTCACCAAAGTATGCACAATGTGTTTTAATCATATCAACTGTGCCCACCTAGATTTAGCTCTTGGGAAAATTCTAACAAAGACAACACTCTCAATCAGTTTAAAATAGTCTATTGTGACAGGAAAGTACCTTGAAAATCGGTGAAGACTCATACATAGAACCAATTTCCTCTCTAGGGAAAATCAGTGAATATAAATTCCTTAGGGTGGTTAATTCCGTCATGTAAATAGTTACCAACATTATTGTTAACACTCGGGAAAATAAGCAGTCTCTTTGAATGAACAGATGATAAAGCCTAGAGCGAACAGAGCTGAGTTCTAATTGTGTTCTAACAGAAGAAATAATAACACGGGTTTTGTTTTTTTTTTTAATGGCAATGTTTTAAGAATAAATAAGACAAATGGGTAAACATGCTTTTAGTTCTTCTGGGGAAGGCACTATCTAATTCCAAGACAGAGCTCTAAGACAGCAAAAGAAAAAAAGATTGGTGTGTTTTCTACAGTTTCAGTAAGGGCTATGGGCCCAAAATGTTTTAAGGGAAGAAAATTGTTAGCACTGGAGATATTGTCAAAATACATTTCCCTCTGGTTAAGAAAAGGAGAGAGGGAGGGCTATGAGGGAGGAGTGGAAAGAAATTGTCATCAAAGCATTGTTAATATGAACTGAATTATATTACAATGGTGATGCTTCAACATGGGGAAGGAAAATTGTTTGGTATTATTGGGGACTGACAATATGACAATCGCTCATTGAGCGTGGATGACAGCTGTAGCATTATAGCTCCGTGCACAACACAAGATGAATGAGTGCTACAAGTTCTTCCAGAATGGGCCCCTATTTCACAAGAGTCTGTCTCATCCCAAAATAAATACATGCCAGTTTTTCAAGATCTCAGCAAATTTCGCAAATCTTTACAAGCCAGTGTGCTACCAGCGGCCTCACAGTGCCAGTGTCATGTCCCTGCTTAGTGGATTTGCAGCAGCTGTGAAATGTCAAGTCCAAATGCCATGGACGATCTATACAGCGGCTCAGCAGAAGAAAGGGCAGGAAATGGTAAAATCCTGGGCCCGAACGCATGTGGAGTGACGTCACACTGTCTCTGATCCACAGGAACACTGCTTCGGAATTGCTGTCTTAGCACCAGCTGCATTCCACCATACACGTGAGAATCATTTGTATTTACCTCTGACACCAAACTACTCACCTACAAGAAGTAAAACCATGTATGCTACTTGAAGTTACAGGCCAAAGAGATTTATTCTTGCTAACTTAACCAAAGACAAAAGCAAGGGAAGAGTACAAAAGTCACTCCTAGTATCAGACAGATAAAGAGGTAAGCTTTCACATATTCGGTAGTTCACATATTTGGTAGTTTTCTTTCTGATTCCGATTCTGGTACATTTTTTAAAAGCATAATATTTTAGATATTCTGTTCTAGGACCTGCTTTTGATGAAATCAGTAATCAATATATTGTGAACATTTTTTTCATTAATATTCTCCTACAATATCAATTTAGCAGCTCCATATATTCCATTTCCATATATACTGTATCTTACACAGCTAATCCCCTACTGTTGGACAGTTAGTCTGTTTCCAGCATTTCAACACAAAACATAATGCATTAATATATAATATCTGTACATGCTCTAATTTCTTAGAATGTGTTCATAAAACCTCGACTGATTTTCTGTGATCCTGGCTGTGGCAACAGTCAAAGTGAACCTGAGCAGGTGCTAAGAGACTAGCTTCACGATCAAGAGAGTCTCTGAAGTATTGGTAAGAGCAGTTGAAGGGGTATAAATAATGGACAAGTTGCTGTGGCCATCTTCTGGAGCCGAGGATATGCAAAAAGAAGGGAATTAGGTGAATGTTCTCCTGCTTCCACACTCAGCACAGAATTTCCTCTAGAAGGTTTTGCATGAATAACAATGTGAGAGTTATTTGTGCTATTATCCCAGCATTTCTAGCTGTCCTCCAGGCACAAGGTAGAAGAGCACTTCCTGGCCCTCCTGTGGTAAGATGCTATCATGTGACTGATTCTGCCCAGGAAATTGTGAGCAGAGTGACAGGTGCCATTTCTGGGCTGGAACCCTCGAGTGCTGACGACAGCCCCTCTGGGGCTCCCATTCCTTCGGCCGGATCACTAGGGTGGGGTGGTGGCTGGTTTTGTCAGAATGGGTCATTCTCTTTCCCTCTCAACCCACGATTAACAAGCAGGAAGTCAATTTCTGACATTTGGGGCCACTAACACTTAGGGAGTTGTTTGTTAACCATCTCACCACCTAGCCTCTCCTGACTGATAAATACCATAATATCGTCTTTGGGACCTCATGATCTAATTTAAGATATTCACAAACATATTCCTTGTTCTCCGCACATAGTTTGAAAACCTGATGAATCAAAAGCATACTCCTTCTGGTTTCCTGGGTGTCACTGCGGGACAGTTTAACAGCTATGTCTGCAGAGCCAACTGGGGCCAAAGAGTCACCTTAAGAACTTTGGGGAACAGAGAGATGGGAAAGACACGGCTCTGGCCCTGACTGACCCATAGGAGAGAGGATATGGGTTCCGATCCTCTATAAAGGAGGAATTTGGGGCTGGTGCCATGGCTCACTTGGCTAATCCTCCACCTGCGGTGCCGGCATCCCATTTGGGCACCAGGTTCTAGTCCCGACTCCTCCTCTTCCAGTCTAGCTCTCTGCTGTGGCCCGGGAAGGCAGTGGAGGATGGCCCAAGTGCTTGGGCTCTGCACCCGTGTGGGAGACCAGGAGGAAGCACCTGGCTCCTGGCTTCGGATCGGTGCAGTGCGCCAGCTGTAGCAGCCATTTGGGGGGTGAACCAATGGAAGGAAGACCTTTCGGCCGGTGCCACAGCTCACTAGGCTAATCCTCCGCCTTGCGGCGCCGACACCAGGTTCTAGTCCCGGTCGGGGCGCCGGATTCTGTCCCGGTTGCTCCCCTTCCAGGCCAGCTCTCTGCTGTGGCCCGGGAGTGCAGTGGAGGATGGCCCAGGTGCTTGGGCCCTGCACCCCATGGGAGACCAGGAAAAGCACCTGGCTCCTGGCTCCTGCCATCGGATCAGCGCGGTGCGCCGGCCGCAGCGCGCCGGCCGCGGCGGCCATTGGAGGGTGAACCAACGGCAAAGGAAGACCTTTCTCTCTGTCTCTCTCTCACTATCTAACTCTGTCAAATTAAAAAAAATTTTTTTTAATTTTTAAAAAAATGGAGGAATTTAAGGTTAGCACTGAACTGCACAGGGCACCTGAGGACTCTCTTGAAACTATTGCATAGCAAATTCAATCCATGTGTCATCATATATATTTTTACATATATATATATATTTGATGGCACGTGGGGATACAGCAGAGTGGCTAAAGGCCTCCTTTTAGAGGCTGCTGGTACCATCAAGGGCAAAGTAAGCACAACTCAAAGTAGAAGATGGCAAATTCTGAAACAGAGATGGGAAGGAGGCGGCCCAGGGTGCCTTGTTCAAGGACTGGGAGAAGAGGTCTGAGTGGGAGAGGTGGAGGGAAAAGTTTCACTGAGGAGACAGTATTTGAGATGAGCTTTTGCAGCTATGATTTCCATAGGCTGAAATCCCTGGAGAAGCCGCAGTCTGGGCAGAGGGCACAGCAAGGGGAAATGGATAGCAAGGCAGTGTGGCTGAGAAGCCACAGCCAGTGCCTGTAATGAACATGGGACAAGTGGAAATTTGGGAGAAAGTGCTGAATTCGGGCAGCAGGGCTGGGTGCAAAGCAGGGACGTGAAGGAAGAGAATTATAAAGTAGGGAGAAGAAGAGAAGCCGGGAGAGCTGGTCTTGCCAGGTTTAACTTGGCTGAAGCACAGTGCCCGTATCTTAACCAGAGGGCTGAAACCCAACCATGGAGCAGGGAGCCAGGGTCTGGCTCACCCTGCGCTCCCAACTCCACACTCTCAGCACAGGGTGAGCATCCCAGAAGAATGGTGATGAGTGACAGCCTGCCACCAACCCACAGTAGCAGGAGTACCAGTGGAGGTCCCAGGATTCGCCACACAGTCCTTTAATTTCTTGGCTTTTTTAAACTTTACCAAATTTTGCAGTATTTCCTTGTCATATACCCCTCCCCCCCAAAATGGGCACAGTAGATGATGGCATTGCTTGAATATGAACATTTGGCTACCTGTAAAAATCCCTAGCTCCGGTTTAATCTGGGGGAGACTGAAAGCAGGTAAAATGAGATATTATCTAAGAATTTTAGCTTTAAATGCCCTAAGTACGAGCTAGCAACATCGGCTGTCTTTTACTTCATGTTAGTTCATAAGAAGAAGACAGGCTCTTAAGACCAAAAGAAAAACATCCCAGGTCCTCAGCACTGGGTAGGCTTTTTCACCCTTAATTCTCCATTGCTTAACCTGATCCTGCACACTTCCCTTTATGAAAACATTTCTTGTTTACTTCAAACAAACAAGAAGGCAAAAGTCAGTACACAGGCTGGGAAAGGCAGGTGGATTGGGATAATAAAAGATCACTTTTCTGTGTGATCTTGAGTGGGATGGGTTTCTGGCCTAGTAGTGAGGCAGTATTCCATGTACAAAAGGAAATTTTCTGGTGGGGGTGGGGGAAGTGGACAGGTTAAGCATGAATATCATCCTTTTGGTATCTAGCCATAATATGAGAAATCCAGGAAACCCACCCTTGACTCAGAAGTAAACACTCAGACGGAGTGAGCAGTCTGAGACTAACACATTGTGCTACTAAGAGCAGAACTTAATTAAGGCTTATTTTTTTCAAAAGCACACAAATGACCAAATAATAAAGCCATCTCCCAAAGGTCAGGAGAAATTTACTGGGAACCTACTGGGCACAGAAATGAAGCAAGTCTCCTTGTAACTGGGCTTGTGATTGCACAACCAGCGGGCACCTTCACGACTTTCACCACCAAAGACAGCAAATATTTTCCGTGGAAAACTCAACCGGAATCTGTTTTGTTCTAAGGTTAGATCTACAAAGCCATAATTACCCAGGTAACTTGGTTCTGATGTTGCCTAAAATAGCCAGGTAATTATAGGAGAAAGGTCATTTCTTCTGTATAATCTCAACTATACACTGGCTATCTACACTGGCAGTTATCCAGTGAAGAACAGCCTTTTATTTCACTTTGTGCTTGCATAGACCTTGTGCCAAACTATGAAATTCTTAACAGCGGAGTTAAAAAAAAAATCCCTCTATAAATACTCCTGCTCCCTTGCCCCCTTCCTTAGGAAGATCTAATGACTTCCTCCTAAGACAAAATGTAAAATATCTTCCGCTAAATTTTACATTCAAAGGAAACGCATTCTGTGCAACAGAAAGGAAACAAGAGAGGTGAAGAGGAAGAAAGATCGGGGTGCCAAGATCCACAAAACTGTTAAACTGTGGGGATTAAAAGATTCGGGGCGCCGAGGTGGGGGTGCGTACAGAGAGAGGGAGAGAGAGAGAAGAGAATGCGTAGAGAACGCGCAGATCTGCAGGCCAACAGACATCTTATTCTGAGTTTGAGCTCTGACAACACAGGCAGTTTGGGGGCAGAAAGCTGCGCATCTGTTTGCCCGTGACTGCACCAGAGAAGCGCCCATTCCTTTTCTTCACAAAGGGAGAGGAGCGGCGTTTATCTCAAGTACAGCAAGGCGGACTAGGATTCACCTCCCCCATTCTCTCTTCCCTCTTCCTCCTAGCGTCTCCCCCGCCACCTCCCCTTCCTGTTGGGAAAGAAAAGGTGGGAGGGGGAGGAGGACCCGCCGGTCACAGACAACACTGTGGGATTCTCTCTCCTCAGCTTTTACCAGCCGATGGGGGTCAGGACGCTATTGGTTCAGCTTTCTGTGTGATATGGTGCCTCTCACTTAGCAACAGCGAGCAGGAGAGGCAGGAAGCAATGCCACCTGGCTCAGCGCGTGTGCGGACGGTTTCAAAGGAGCCACTCACTCTGAGGGAGACAGAAGGGGGAGGGAGTGGAGGAGGGAGGAAGAGAGAGCAGGGAGAGAGAGAGGGAGGACTCCAGAGAGCAGTCTGAGCTGAACATATTGTACTATTAAGAGCAAGGCTTAATCAGAGTGTTAACAACAACCAACAGGCAGGCGATGGAAGGAAGAGCAAAGACTGGACAGGCAGGAGTGATTTTTAATGAGTGTCTCTGCATAAATCGTATACATTGCCCTCGTGCGTGCTTTCTTAAGGACAAACCACACGGTGCTGGATGGGAGATGGGTACAGAGAGATGGGTTATCCCAGCAAAATAAATAAATAAGAGAGGAGATGAAACAAACTCTACCATGAGTTTACTAGGGCTGATTTTGTTTTCACACCAGGGTGTTACTGGAAAAGAAAGGTAAAATTGGGCGTTCTGGAAAAAAAGCAATTGGCTCTGTGCTCATGAGATTTTTTCTTTTTTTTTAAATTAGTCAACACAGCAGCTATTTCTAAATCCTGGATTCCACTTCAGCTTTTGAAAATTGACTTTCTGGAGTGGAAAGTGGCAAAAGAAGAACATCTCTGCTAGGAAGAGGATTTTCCCCCCTCATTGCTTCCTTTGTGGAAGGAGGGACATTTCTCTGAAGGATGCTGAGACAAGTTCCGAGAGCTCACACTTTGGTCACAGGGCTCTGGGCCAGTAACAACAAGGAAGCGCATGCTGCGGCTCCATAATCCTTCGCTTCTCTTAATAGAATCCCCTTCCCCACTATCTGTGGTCTCTCTACCCAGCTTCGGAAGCATCCTCTTACCTGTTATCCACCCCACCCCAAGACAGCGAAGATCCCAGCCTTGGGCTCTAAAACATCGCTGGGAAAGTATCCTCCCCATCTTAGAGAAAAATGGAGTCAACTTGGTCTTTCACTGGAGCCAACCAGTGCCCCAGAGACAAAGAACAACACCCCAGGAGGCACAGATGGGCCGGGATCTGCCCTTCTAACCCAGACCCACTTAACCCCTTCGGCTCCGGGGAGTAAAAGCTACTGACTACAGTGACACCTACTGCTCAGGGCACAGCCACACACACAGATTGCTTTCCAGATTCCCAGAAAGCAGCCCTTTGCTGGGCCATTGGTGGGCTCCACTGAAAACACTGCCCGCGACTCTGGGTTAACACCCCAAGTGGGACATTTTCCATCCCCGGATTGTCAAGACAGCCTCAGAGTGTGCAATACAGGCCTCGCTGTGGGGGTACAACACGCTGTCACCCACAGAGTGTCTCGCTACAGAGAACAGTTCCCTAACAGCCCCACACTGCCTTCAGAACCACAACTACAGTGACACGACCTTCTCAATCCTCTTTGATACCCAATTAAATTATCCCAGGAAAATTGAAAGTTTTATCCAGTATACACTGAATTTTACTCTACAGAGAACACAATGGGAAGCTCTGGTATGAGTATGGTCCTAGTAGGATGGGTATTTAGAAACCCCACCTGCACATTTGTATAACAGTGTGCTCATCAACCAGTATTACTTTTATTCTATGCATTCAGATATCAAAAATTTCCCCCATTGAGAAAAATACATTTGGTCACAGAAGTCACAGTTATATTTTTCTGAAAACATAGGAAGGAATGCCTCTATATCTGAAAGTCTATGATTCTTTTCTCCAGGAAGGACAAGAAATAGTATCACTGGAGCCAGCACTGTGGCAGAGCAGGTTAAGCCACAGCCTGCAGCACAGGCATCCCATATGGGCGCAGGTTCAAGTCCCGGCTGATCCACTTCCAATCCAGCTCCCTGCTAATATGCCTGAGAAAGCAGCAGAAGATGGCCCTAGTCCCTGGGTCCCTGTACCCAGGTAGGAGACCCAGAAGACTCCCTGGCTCCTGGCTTCAGCCTGGCCCAGCCATAGTCATTGCAGTCATTTGGGGAATGAACGAGGAGGTGGAAGATCTCTCTCTCTCTCTCTCTCTCTCCTGTGTGTGTGTGTGTGTGTGTGTGAGTCCTCCTCTAATTCTTTCAAATAAATAAATGTTTTCTTAAAAAGAAACAGAATCACTAACAGAACCATGACATCCCCCCAAATAGGTAGTAAGTTTAAAACCATTACTAAAGGCACCACGAACAGTAAGTGGGAGGATTATAAAATCAATGAGTTAAGAGATACAACTTGTGTCCTTTTGGCAAAGACTATCTTCACCAAGACACAGTGAACAGAACACTAGTGATCCTGAAAATCCAGATACCATCCTTCTTTATAGATGCTCAAAGCGCTTTGAAAATTTTGCTTTTTCCCCACACGCATTCCACTTGGAATAATTGGATGCTAAATCATGACACTTTCGCTTCCCACTGGGGAAACACAGGACTTGTGCAGTTTACCCAACGTCACAGAGCAAACCAGTGCAGGTGGCGTAATAAGAACCAGGCTTCCTGACTAAGCCTCCTGGCTTAGCCAGCGGCCACAGGTTCGGCCACAGGTTCTCGCTGAATCACCCTGAGGCCCATCTCACACTTCTTAGGGTGCCTCATGCCCCTGTCCAATTTACATAAAATTCTCAGGTATCGGTCGGGAGACTTGAGGAAGGCCTACACACACCCAGAGATGGTTCAAATCTAAGTTCATGGAGAGGCTACATTTACTCACTAAGCCTACGCAACTCTCTAAATGTCCCTGGAATGGCGAGAAGTGAAAGGCACTCAGAAAAGCAGCTATCCTGGTTCTCTGAGACACAAATCCACAAGGTGGAGCTGTGATGGGGCAGCCGGCCCAGCCATGGAGTCCACTTACTAGCAGGACAGCGGGACTTCCTCTCTTTTCCACAGAACTCCACACTGACCGAACACACCTGAACCCACGTGGGCTGTGGGTGCACAGTGTGACCCCGTGACCGTGTCACCGACCACCTGGGAATCTACTCATGGAGGCAACACCCTCAGCCGTTCCCCAAAAATCCCACAGACGTCAGTGTAAGGAGGGCCTCCTTCCCTCAAGATATTCTTCACCCACAACTCTTGTCTCTCACCGGGAAGGGAAATAAATGGTGATAAATGTGTCCCCAGGATTCATTCCTTTTCCAGACTCTGTTTTAACATAAAGCCCAAATATTCAGCGGTCACCTAATGGCCCACACTTATGTGTTGCTTATGTCCAAATAAAAAAGGCCCACAGAACTCCCTTCATTCAAAATGCAAAACTTGCATTTTATTAAACCAGTCAAGAAAGAGGAAGCTACACGGTGAGGGGGTGTGGATTCTTCAGATGACGGCGGGAACCGGAGCCGCCACCAACTGGAGCCCCTGGCTTGGTGTGGTGTGGACTGCTGGAAAGGTAGCAAGTCTGAAAGGCTCACTACCCCGTCCCTTGCACTACTCCCACCCATGGCACCCGCGTTCTCCCGGTGCCCACCTGGAAACAAAGGGCTCCTCCTCTCCAGGCCCCTCATCTCCTTCGGTGACTTGCATGGTCCTGGGACGGCTCCACATGCCCCGTGGACTGGCCCCAGTGGAATGTTTCACGTCTGGCTCGCCCACTCCTGTCTGCAGTGGGTACCTGACTCCAGGGCACAGCACTGTACAGCGGGATTGTCGCAGGGTCAGGGCCCCTGAGCCACGGTTTCCTTTCCAGGCCTCTGACTTTGAGTCACAGTCAACCTCACAAGGAACAGTGGCTCTTAACACAGTGGTTTCAGATCTAAAGAAGTTTGCTATGATATTTTCCATACAATCCTGCTTTTTACACACAAAACATAACACTCTATACATGTGTGAGTGTGTATATTTACCAAAAATTTTTTTGAATCAACGTATCAGTGTCCAGAAAATCTTTTCTGTTAAGGGCCAGTTAGTAAATATTTCAGACTCTAAAGGCCAAAGCACAGAATCACGGCTCTTTGGTAGATAGTTATATAACAGGAGGGAAAACAAATTCCCATAAAATCTTTGTTTACAAAATTCAAAATCGGCCAGCGCCGCGGCTCACTAGGCTAATCCTCCGCCTTGCAGCACCAGCACACCGGGTTCTAGTCCCGGTCGGGGCGCCGGATTCTGTCCCGGTTGCCCCTCTTCCAGGCCAGCTCTCTGCTGTGGCCAGGGAGTGCAGTGGAGGATGGCCCAAGTCCTTGGGCCCTGCACCCCATGGGAGACAGGATAAGTACCTGGCTCCTGCCATCAGATCAGCGCGGTGCGCCGGCCGCAGTGCGCCGGCCGCGGCGGCCATTGGAGGGTGAACCAACGGCAAAGGAAGACCTTTCTCTCTCTCTGTCTCTCTCTCACTGTCCACTCTGCCTGTCAAAAAAAAATTTTTTTTCAAAACCTTCTTTACGGACACTAAAATTGGAATTTCACACAACTTTTGTGTGCCATGAAATATTATTATTTTGAATTTTTCCAACCATTTGATTATGAAAAAAATCATTCTTAACACATAGGCCATATAAAAACAAGTAGCAGGGCCAGGGTTTTGGCCCATGGGTGATAGTTTGGTGACTCCTAGATACAAGGAGTCTTTAAAAAGTTTTTGGAAAGTGATCATTATGAGAAATTATGCATGAATTTCAAAAGTTTGCACCTAAATAAATTTACCTTTTAATCCCTATATTCCATGAACTTTTCAAAGTACCCTCATACAAGAGTATATGAAGTGGTTAAAACTGTGATTGGGTCTAGGAAATGGAATACAAAAAGTTTTTTCTTCACTTTTTTAATTAAGACACTTCTGCCTTGTTTGCATTTTTGTTACAGTTATGTATTACTTTCATAATTTGAAAAATATAAGGAGAAGGCAATTGACTGGTTACGATAAAGATGTCTTTAGAGCTCTCAAGTTCTTCCATATTTTTCCTACTTAACTTAATGTCTGTTATTATCCTTGGTTTCTATGGGGCTGATCTGTTCCTTATCTGACTAGAACACTATGCATGTCTCCTGTTGTCCTAAGTCTGCTACCTCCAAAATCATATTCATAGTTCAAGGTTTATTTCCTAGTTCCTAACTTTCTTTTTCAAGATTTGCAAACCTGTGACAGCATAAGGAAACCATTCATCCGATCGTCCCTTGTCAGTTACTTTAAAGTATAGTTAATCTTGTCTCCTAATTAGAACGTGAGCCCCTCCACAGACAGGGACACCCCCCCCCCAGCAACTTCTTCCCAAGCACCCAACAGTGAGGACTCTTCCCTTAAGTGTGCAGCCATTTATCTGGCCAACTTACACTAAAACACAAATGTAGAATATTTAATAAACATCCTAGGACCAGTGGACGGAGGAGAGATAAGAAATTTTGTCTTGATGTGTAAAAATATTATTTTTTAACTTTGAAACTGTCTAACAATGAAATATGCTACCACTTGAAATAACAAATTTCCTGACACTAAAAACACAAGTGCATGACCATCTGTCAGGGATTTGGGGGAAGGAATTCCTGTATTATTTAGGTCACACCACAGGGCCTCTAAAGTCCCTTCTCACTCAAGAATTAGTTATTCTGATCCACTGTATTCCCCTACCCGAAATATCTCATTTATTCTCTAAAATTAAGTGATTTAAACTACCAGAGGTGACAAGTTCACAACAGGATCGTCAAAAACTCTAATTCTTTGCCATTTTTAGAAATACTGTGGGTCTATTAAGATGATATTAATGGGTTTGTTTTAAGCAGACAGTACATTTGATAAACTACCTGGGGAAAAAGAGTCCAGATCTTTCCCCTTTATTCGGATAGCTTCCTGGGTTTGGATTGCTTGGTTTTGTTTATCTGTTTGTTCTTTTTAGGAGGTTCTTGGGTTGCTGCTCACTAATCAGCTGACTGAAAGACAACATGCAAATCATAATTACACCACTCTTTTTGCTTATACAAACTTTCCAGATCTTTAGAATTCTGGGAAAACGCCAGACTCAAAAGGAGATCACGAACACATCTCACTACCTCTTTCGGAGGCAAAAACCTAGCCCCCTGAACACTCAGCTACGTGTAAACACAACTGCGAAAAGTTGAAGTCCAAAATCACACATCATGGGCTCTTTCATCAAGTACCTGCTGTGTGCCCACCGTGGGCCAGGTGGTGCTTAAGTACCAGAGACAGATGGTGAACAAAAGCTCCAGACCCTACCCCAAGAACTTACACTGATCACCCAAGTAAGGGCCAGCTCATCGTGAAAAGGGAAAGAGACACTGTGCATGGATTGGTTTGCAGTGTCCATAATCATACCTCTCATTCAAAAGCCTACAGTAGAGTACAGGACAGGGACAGCAGAGATGATAGACAAAAAGAACAGCACACGGAAGAGAAGGAGGAAAATGAGAAGAGAGAGGATCAGCCGCAGCTACAGGGCAGATGGCATTAGAAGCAAGAACAGGAACGCCTCCAGCCTTCCTGCTCAAGATTTCTTCAGCCACTTGGGGGTCTTTTGTGATTTTATGTGATTTTAAGATTGATTTTTCTATTTCTGTGAAGAATATCATTGGTGTTTTAATAGGAATTGCAACGAATCTGTGCACTGCTTTGGATAGCATGGACATTTTAAGAATATTCATTTTTCCAATCCATTAACACAGGATGTCTTTACAACTATTTGTGCTTTCTTCAACGTCTTCTATCAACAGTTTGTGGCTTAGGCTGCAGAATTTTTACTTCCATGGTTAAATTTATTCCTACATATTTTTATAGCTATTGTAAATGGGACTGCTTTCCTGATTTCTTTTGTTCTCATTCATATGTGGAATCTTCAAAAGTCAAACTGTGGCCTGCGCCGCGGCTCACTAGGCTAATCCTCCGCCTTGCAGTGCCGGCACACCGGGTTCTAGTCCCGGTCGGGGTGCTGGATTCTGTCCCGGTTGCCCCTCTTCCAGGCCAGCTCTCTGCTGTGGCCAGGGAGTGCAGTGGAGGATGGCCCAAGTACTTGGGCCCTGCACCCCATGGGAGACCAGGAGAAGTACCTGGCTCCTGCCATCGGATCAGTGCAGTGCGCCGGCCACAATGGCCATTGGAGGGTGAACCAACAGCAAAAGGAAGACCTTTCTCTCTGTCTCTCTCTCTCACTGTCCACTCTGCCTGTCAAACAATAAAAAAAAAAAAAAAGTCAAACTGTGACCCGGTTGTTGCAGTCACTTGAGGAGTAAAACCAGATGGAAGATCTCTCTCTCTCTCTCTCTCTCTCTCCCTGTACTCTACTTCTCAAATAAATAAAAATAATAAGTAAGTAAGTAAATAAATAAATAAATAAATACAAGTCAGTCGCATAGAAGTAGACAGTAGAATACTGACTACTGCGCCTGGAGAGGCAAGGAAGCTCGAGGGCAGGAGAGAGGGTGTTCAACAGGTACAAAGCTACAGTTAAACAGGAACAAGTTCTGGTGTTCTATTGAACAACAGGCAATAATACTGCATTACATGTTTCATAACAGCACCAAGAGAGGGTTTTCAATGCTGTACCACAAAGAAATGATAAAAGTTCGATGTGATGAACATGGTAATTACTGATTTGATCATTATAAGAGGTATCTATGTATTAAAACATCACAATGTACCCCACAGTTGTGTACAATTACCTTTATAAAAAGATTTATTTATTTGAAAGGCAGAGTTACAAAGAGAGAAGGAGAAACAGATCTTCATCTGCTGGTTCACACTCTATATGGCCATAACAGCTGGAACTGGGCCAGGCCAAAGCCAGGAGTTTCTTCCGGGCCTTCCATGTGGGTGCAGGCGCCCAAACACTTGCACCATCTTCTGCTACTTTCCCAAGAGCATTAGCAGGGAGTTGGATTGGAAATGGAGCAGCCAAGACTTGAACCAGTGCCCATGTGGGCTGCTGGTATCACAGGTGGCAGCTTAATCCACTATACTACAAGGCCAGCCTCTATACAATTTTTATGTGTCAATCAAAAATGAAATAAAACAAAAAGGTAGTAAAGACAGGGAGCAATAGACACTGACTGGGAAAGGGTGACCAAGGTGCTGGCTGGAGGATAACACTGGACATCACTGGGGTTCCTGTTGTCCATGTGTACACAGTCTGCAGTGTACATAAAGGGCTGTGTACACTGTACATGGTTCTGCCACCACGGTGAACCTGCAAATAAGGAGGAAACCTCTCTATACTTCAGTTTCCCAACTACTTTCTATGAGTGTCATGACGTATGTTCTAATAGACATCTTCTTGCAGCCTCGGAGCACAGTATGTCTCAGCTGATCTCTGCTTTATCTTCAGATTCTCCTTGAATCATTAGGAAAAGAATCACATTCCAAGGCTTCTCATCAGCAGCATTGTAACACAGCTCGCTAAGCCACAGTCTGCGATGCCAGCATCCCATGTGAGTGCTGCTGGTTCAAGTCCCAGCTGCTCCACTTCCAATCCAGCTCCCTGCTAATACGCCTGGGAAAGCAGCAGAAAATGCCCCAAGTAGTGGGCCCCTGCACCCACGTGGTAGACCGGGATGGAGTTCCTGGCTCCTAGCTTTGGGGTGGCCCAGGCCTGGACATTGCAGTCATTTGAGGAGTAAATCAGCAGACAGAAAGTCATTCTGTGTGTGTGTGTATCCCTTTTTCTCTGTAACTCTGCCTTTCAAATAACTAAAATCTTTTAAAAAGTTAGGAGTAACAACAATGACTTAAAATTATCAAGTGCTTACCATGTACAGGCACTAAAATAGAACTGTAAATGGATTATCCCAAAATCTCTACTAGAAACTAAGGATTAGGAAAGGTAAGTAACTTGCTCAAGTCATAAAACTAGTAACTAACAAAGCCAGGACTGAAACCCAGCAGTATAACTCCATATGCAGTGCCCTTAACCAGAGCTGTAGCACCATGTGAGGCCTTGCAGACCTGCCTTCTCATCTTCAGAAGACTTTTCATCTTTAGATCATGCAGAAGCTATTTAATTTTTGAACATCAAGAAATGAGATGAGACAACTTGCTCTGTTTGTTAATACAAGTCTGATTAACTGAAAAGTTCTTCTCTTTAAAAAAAATCTTTTCAATGAAAACCGTGCCCTAGGAAGCCAAAGCTAATTTTTCCCAGAATGAAAGATATAGACTCCAGGGGCTATTTGCCATTAGTTTTGGGATTTCTTTTGTTTGTTTGTTTTTTGGTCTTTTTCTGAGTTTTGAAAAAGGACAAAAACAATCAACTTATTAGCATGGAAATAGGAGAAAATGTAAAGAACCCTTGGTCAGCAAAAGAATGTTCTTCAGTGATAGCTAAAAGAATATTTTATTGGGCATTAAGAGAAATACAGCAATTCACAGAGTTGAATTATCCAGATAACTGAGTTTTGGTCATCAAAGCAATAACTACCTTTAAAAAAATCCTTCTAAAATATTACACATTTATATTCTTGCATTCTTAGAAAACACCAGATTCTTGGGGTGGGATTTGGCACAGCAGATGCCACTGACATGTCCACATCCCATACTGGAGGGCCTGCATTTGAGTCTCAGCCCCACTTCTGATTCCAGCTTCCTGCCAATGAGAGGTAGAAAATGATGGCTCATGTACTTGGGAACCTACCACCCACTTGGGAGACCTGGATTGAGTTTTGGCTCCCTGGCTTCAGCCTAACCCAGCCCTGGTGTTGTAGGCATTTGGGGAGTAAACCAGTGGACATAAGATCTCATGCACATATTTTCTCTCTGTCTCTCTGCCTTGTAAAATAAAGTGCAAATAATATAGTTTATTATAAGAATATTGGTAGGGCCGGCGTCATGGCTCACTTGGCTAATCCTCTGCCTGCGGCACCGGCACCCTGAGTTCTAGGCCTAGTTGGGGCGCCGGGTACTAGTCCCGGCTGCTCCCTGCTCCTCTTCCAGTCTGGCTCTCTGCTGTGGCCCGGGAAGGCAATGGAAGATGGCCCAAGTGCTTGGGTCCTGCACCCGCATGGGAGACCAGGAGAAAGCACCAGCTCCTGGATTCGGATTGGCGCAGCACCGGCTGTAACAGCCATTAGGGGAGTGAACCAACAGAAGGAAGACCTTTCTCTCTGTCTCTCTCTCACTGTCTATAACTCTACCTGTCTAATAAAAAAAAAATTAAATTTAAAAAAAGAAAAAAGAATATTGGTAGTAATGACGATGCTCAAATATCTGGGGGAGGAGCTGTTAAACTCAACAGAGCTCTCTGACCTTGCAGCAGAGGACTCCACACTGCAGAGATTTCCGGGTCTCCAAGTCTGCTTTTGTGTTTCTGTCTTCCTATTCTCAGCTTTCTTTATGTCTCATACCCTTCACCTTGCTTCTAGTCTGTCTCTTTCTCAGACATGGTGGGTTTCTGGGATATCTGGGTGGCTCTGTACCTTGCCAGGGTTAAATGTGACAGCCCACCCTACCATGTCTTTCAAGTCCTGTTTTTAACTCACTTCCAGGTTCCAGATGGTTGAGGTTCATGGAAGCCTAACCTCCATAAATGTAGAGTTCCTCAGTTTTCTCTTTATGAAATATCTTTCCTAAAAACCAAAATGTGGATTTCTGGACAAGGTTTATTTTATTCATTTGAGAAATTAAATATCACCTTCATTTAAAATGAAATATTGGAGCCAGCACTGGGGCACAGTAGGTTAAGCAGCCACCTATGACGCCAGTATCCCACATCAGCGTGCCGGTCCGTGTCCCCGCTGTTCTGTTTCTGATCCAGCTCCCTGATAAAGCGCCTGGGAAAGGAGCAGAAGAAGGCCTAAGTGTTTGAGCTCCTGCCACCCACATGGGAGAACCAAATGGAGTTCTAGTTTCTGGCTTCAGCTCAGCCCAGTCCTGGTCATTGCAACCATTTAGGGACCGAACCAGTGGATGGAAGATATTGCTCTGTGTGTGTGTGTGTGTGTGTGTGTCTTCCTCTCTCTCTCACTCTGCCTTTCAAATAAATAAATCTTTTTAAGAAATCAAAATACAATGAATCATGATGATAAGAAATATGTTTTTTGTGGCCGGCACCATGGCTCACTTGGCTAATCCTCCGCTGCGGCACCGGCACCCCGGGTTCTAGTCTCAGTTGGAGCGCCGGGTTCTAGTCCCAGTTGCTCCTCTTCCAGTCCAGCTCTCTGCTATGGCCTGGGAGGGCAGTGGAGGATGGCCCAGGTGCTTGGGTCCCTGTACCTGCATGGGAGACCAGAAGGAAATACCCGGCTCCTGGCTTCGGATTGGCACAGCGCCGGCCATAGCGACCATCAGGGGTGAACCAACAGAAGGAAGACTTTTCTCTCTGTCTCTCTCTCACTGTCTGTAACTCTCTCTCTCTGTCTCTCTCTCTGTATAACTCTACATGGCAAAAAATTAAAAATTAAGAAATATGTTTTTTAAAGATTTATTTATTTGAAAGGCAGAGTGACAGAGAGGCAGAGAGAGAGAGAGATTAAGAGAGCACTTCCATCTACTGGTTTACTCCCGAAATGGTGACAACAGCCAGAGCTGTGCTGATATGAAGCCAGGAGCCAGGAGCTTCTTTCAGGCCTCCCATGCGGGTGCAGGGCCTAAGCACTTGGGCCATCCTCCACACCTTTCCAGGCCATAGCAGAGAGTTGGAGTGGAAGCAGAGCAGCCAGAACTTGAACCGGCATTGCAGGCAGCGGCTTTACCCGCTACACCACAGTGCAGGCCCTAGAAATATGAGTCTTTAAAAAAAAAAAAATTGACATTTGCTTTCCATCGAACATTTTACCTGTGGTAGAAGCCCTTCAAGTTTAGAATGCTAAGAAATTACCAATTCAAGCTGCTTTGCTAAGAAAAAATTAACATTTAATGAATTCTTTCACCACTCCTACTCAATATGAATTAATGAATGGATGGAGATAGACAATAGGTGATAGAGAGAGACGGCTAAGGACATGAAGATTATACACACATGCACACATGAAAACATGCGTTACGGTTAATCTTTACATTCATGGTCATTGTATGTTGCCTGTCTTGGTTATGTTATTTCATGTCCCCATGTTTCAAAATAGTACCCAACTTACCAACTTACAGCTTTCTGGTATTCCCATTATTTTAATCTCTTATCTTTTTACTTTGTCATTCCTCTGCTTGAACATTTAGTTTGTTTTTGGGTGCTTTTATTTTGGTTATTGTTCTGAAAAGCAATACAACAGATTTTATGTGTGTGTGTGTGTAGTTATTACTAATTCTTCCGAATTAATACTACTTGATTATCCATGGATCTTCATGTTATTGACCAAATAGGAAATCCAAGCACAGTTAAAATAGAGTAGAAAAGAAGAAAAAAGGCAAGACTATGAATGTGAGAAATAAAGAAGGGCCTGGGCAGACCGCATCTTGTCGGGAAGATGCTGGTAACGATGTCTGTTCTTTTGTATGTGCTGAGCCGCAGCGTGATGCAGGGGAGGACTGTTTTCTTTCAACGTGATTTATCTCACTGCTTAGCGAGCCTAAATGTAGAGCCGAATCAGGGAGCAGTGCTTTCTAAAACAAATTCCATTATTTCAACGTGAACTTTCATTTTTTAAAAATGTGTCTGAAGGAAGCAAAGAAATAGATATCATTCAATAAACACAGTGAGGAGCTGGGCAGGGCAGGTGGAACTGGAGATAGCGAAAGGTTGGTTAATGGGTACAAAAATAGAGTTAGGAGGATTAAGTTCTAGTGTTTTAGAACACCGTAGGGTGGCTACAGTTGACCATAACTTATTGTATACCTCGAATACATACAAGTGAAAAGTTTGAATATTCCCAATGCAAAGAAATGACAAATATTTGAGGTGATGGGTATGCTAACTACCCTGATTTGATCATGGCACATTGTGTATATGTCCAAATATCTTACTGTGCCCCCAGGAGCATGTTTAATTTTTATATGTCGATTAAAAATCAGTGGGGGCAGGTGTTTGGCACAGCAGTGGGGTCACCACTTGGGATTCCCACGTTTCATATCATAAAGCCTGGGTTTGAGTCCCGGCTCTGTTTCCAATCCAGCAGCAGGTGATGGCTCAAGTACTTGGGTTCCTGCCACCCCTATGTGAGTCATGGATTGAGTTTCAGGCTCCTGCATTCAGCCTGGCCTAGCCCTGGCTATGAGGACATTTGGGGAGTGAACCAATGGATGGAAGATATTTCTCATTCTGTGAGCCTTTAAAACAAAAATAAATAAATAAACAATGTCACAAGAACAAAGTGGGGATTCAAAAACCCCTTGCTGGAAGAATGCCTGATGGCAGGGAAGGTGTTCCTGTCCTTGAAGGGAATTATTTTCCCCTGCTGTATACACGCCTGTGGGTGTACACGCGCTTATGGACGGAAAAGTTTCAAAACTCTACTAACACATAGCTCCTCCGGAATGTGATCAGGGGCTGACTGGGGATTTAGGCCACAGGTGAAAGGAAATGCTCTGATTATCTGATTAATGAGGATATAAAATAAGTCTTTATTATTAAAAAAAAAAGGCATAGCATAAGTATGTAAAGAAATGGCTGAATGTACAAGAAAGAAACCATCATGTCTGAATCAGAAAAGAGCCTGAACCAGATCAAATTCCATAGATTTGTATTAGTGTGTTCCCCACTGAAGAATGCCAACCCTTCACTGGAGTGAAAACTGGACAAAATGATTTTTAAGTTTGTCTGTAAGAGCTAAAGACCAAGATAATGGATAGGAAAATATAAAATATAAAATAAAAAGGGCTTGTTAGCATTGCAGAAATTGTCAGGGCTTCTATGGCATTGCAGTGGTTAAGTCAGATATGTATCTTTTCCAAAAAGAAATGTAAAAGCATGTAAACCATAGGTGAAGATGTTTCTCTCCAACAAAATAGTTCTTACCTTTGGAACTCAAAGACCCCAAGTTTGTGATACACAACATGAGAGTCATACATACATACATGTATATGTGCACGGTATAGATGATATACTGCCAACTTTTGCTTATATTAATAAAGATCTGGTAGATCCTAGTTGGGTTTGGAAGGAAATTTTTAGAAAAGGACAAGAGAGTCATTAGAGGTCACACTCCTGGAATCAAAGACTACACTGTGAACCAAGAAGGTCTTAAATTAATCTCAATACTCTGCCCCAACATAGCTTAAAAATACAGTTCCTGAAAACAGAAAGATTTCTTTGAACAGGGCATTAGATCAGGACTACCATGGCCAGTCACAGTAAGAACACAGAAAACCACTCAAAGCCAGATACTACATTAAAAGAAAGTTAAGAGTCTTACTTGTAAGACTATACATTAATGCTATAAAACTGTATTCGACTAGTCAGCGCCTCCCTAAAGTATCACTATTATAAATGATATTCTAATGTTCTTACATAATCTACAATATGCTTAAATACAGGTACTGAACATTTTGTGGGGATTTTTTATGAGTGTCTATTTTTGGTTTTTAATTTTTTTCAAGTCTCATGTTAATATTTGGTATTAATACAAAAAGGACAATTTCAGTGTAATTCATTGATACAATTCCAAAAATATAACAATACTTTCCTTCTCCTTCCCTTCCTTTCTCCCTCCCTCCCCAACCCTTCTTTTCTCTTTTATTTCCTTCTTACTTTCTTTTCTATTTTTAGTTTTTGAGATAACATATTTTTAATTCACATTATAGTGAAATGCTTAATGCCCCACGAAATAAACAGTTCAACAAGTAAAAAGTAAAAAGACCCTGGTTCAGCAGGAGTAGAGGTAAGGGCTATAAACACAAATCAAATGAAAAGATGACCATGGGTACTGAGTATTTTATGTTGTTCATAGAGAAGCAATTTCTATTCCTAATCATACAATTAATGCAATAAACAGTATGACCACTTGTCAACCGAAATATAACTATACCTGCAACTGGATTTCAGCCAGAGGGTCTAGGCTCTAGCTGAAATTCAATGAATGAGCTCAGTTACATAGCTAGAGAAAAGACACGGAAATAGTAATTTCTGTTTAAATTTTTAATGAATTTTTTTATTTGCTTGAAAGGCCGAGAGACAGAGAGAGAAGTATCTCCCATCCACCAGTTCACTCCCTAAACACCGACAGACCGGGCTGGGCCAGGTGAAACCAGGAGTCTGGAAATCCATCTGGATCTCCCGTGTGGGTGGCAAGGACCCAAGCATTTGAGCCATCACAGCTGCCTTCCAGGGTGTACTTTAGCAGGAAGCTAAAATCAAGCAGAGCCAGGACTTGAACCCAGGGACTCCAATATAGGGCGTGGGTATCTCAAGCATATCTTAACTACTGTGCCAAATACCTACTCTGGAAATCTTTGTTTTTATTCCAAGTTATCATCAAGAGTACCATAGCTCAGATTTCATATCTGCAGGAGCAACAAGAGGCATGAGCATCTGATGTGCATTTCTATGTGGCACTCACAAGCAGAGGTGGATTTTTTCTTTTTTCTTTTTTTCTTTTTTTTTTTTAAGATTTATTTTAGGGCTGGAGCTATGGAGTAGTGGGTAAAGCCGCCGCCTGCAGCGCAGAAATCCCATATGGGGACCGGTTTGAGTCCCAGCTGCTCCACTTCCGATCCAGCTCTCAGCTATGGCCTGGGAAAGCAGTGGAGGATGGCCCAAATCCTGAGGCCCCTGCACCCACGTGGTAGTCCTGGAAGAAGCTCCTGGCTCCTTGCTTCGGATCAGCGCAGCTCCGGCCATTGCAGCCAATTGGAGAATGAACCATCGGATGGAAGGTCTTTTTCTCTGCCTCTGCCTCTCTTTCTCTCTGTGTAACTCTGACTTTCAAATAAATAAATCTTGGCTGGCGCCACGGCTCACTAGGCTAATCCTCCACCTGCGGTGCCAGAACTCCAGGTTCTAGTCTCGGTTGGGGCGCTGGGTCTGTCCCCGTTGCTCCTCTTCCAGTCCAGCTCTCTGCTGTGGCCTGAGAGTGCAATGGAGGATGGCCCAGGTCCTTGGACCCTGTACCCGCATGGGAGACCAGGAGGAAGCACCTGGCTCCTGGCTTCGGATCAGCTCAGTGCGCCGGCCTCAACGCACCGGCCGTGGCGGCCACTTGGGGGGTGAACCAATGGAAAAAGGAAGACCTTTGTCTCTGTCTGTCTCTCTCTCACTGTCTAACTCTGCTGTCAAAAAAAATTTTTTAAAAATAAAAATAAACAAATTTTTTTTTCAGATTTTATTTATTTATTTGAGAAGCAGAGTTACAGACAGTGAGAGGGAGAAACAGAGAGAAAGGTCTTCCTTCCATTGGTTCACTCCCCAAATAGCCGCAACGGCCAGAGCTGCGCTGATCCAAAGCCAGGAGCAAGGAGCTTCTTCTCAGTCTCCCATTCGGGTGCAGGGGCCCAAGCACTTGGGCCATCTTCCACTGCTTTCCCAGGCCACAGCAGAGAGCTGGATTGGAAGAGGAGCAGCCGGGACAAGAACTGGCGCCCATATGATATGCCAGTGCCGCAGGCGAAGGATTAACCTACTGCACCACAGTGCCGGCCCTGATAAATAAATCTTTAAAAAGAAAAAAGATTTATTTCATTTGTTTGAAAGTCAGAGTTACAAAGAGAAAGACAGAGACAGAGAGACAGAAAGAGAGGTCTTTGATCCACTGGTTTACTCCCTAAATGGCCGCAATGGCCAGAGATGGGCTGGTCCAAAACCAGGAGCCAGGAGCTTCTTCCAGGTCTCCCACCTGAGTGCTGGGCCCCAAGTACTTAAGCCTTCCTCTGCTGCTTTTCCAGTTATATGCACAGGGAGCTGGATTAGAAGCAGAGTAGCCGGAACTTGGACCAGCGCCCATACAGGATGCCGAAGATGCAGGTGGCAGCTTAACCCACTATGCCACAATACTGGCCCCAGGGATGGATTTTCAAAGCTCTACTCTTCTTCCCTTTTCTTGAACTCCCTCAGCAACTAGCACCAAACCCTAGAGTCATATTTCATTTTTCAGTGAACACACTGGCAACAGTCATTAGTTTTATCAGAATTGGACTCAAAAGAAAATACTATTCTTAGCTAAATAAAAGTTCAGTGCATGAAAAAGCTGTATCAGCACGCACACGCACACGAGAGAGACAGAGACAGAGACAGAGACAGAGAGATCTGCCTCATGGAAGCAATCCCCCAACTATGACATGGAAGACTGGATTCCCTCTGTAGTTAAACAGCCCCTGGCCTAAAAGGAAGACAGCAATCTACCACCTTTAAGGGTAGCAAGAAACAAAATGCTCTTCTTAGAAACTCTGATCTACAAGAGAATTCCAAAGGATTTCTGTCGTTGAAACAACAAAGTTCTCCACGACATACAAGTTCTGGAATATTGAGTCAAGCCGAGTAACCAGAACAGGTTTACATCCAATTACTAGACTATAACAATGGCCAACCTACATATATCTTCCACCTATTCACTGAAAAATAAGAAAATAATGATGCTCAGAATGCAAAGGGCCTTCCCAGGACGGCTGTGGCGTTTCTCGCCAATGGTCACTTCCGTCTGTAGCTTGAGAGCTGGACTCCCGTTGGCATTGGCAGAGATTGCCACGGCCTGGCAAAGTGAGCGGGGAAGAGAGTGACAATATGGTGCCTGTATGTGCAGCCGCCACGGAGCCCAGTGTTTTGACATTGTTACTGAAACAAACTCGACTATTTATGAGAGCTAAGTTGAATCAAACAGTTGGTGCGGCAGAAAAAAACATCTGTTTCTGAAGTCTTTTTGTCTAGAAAGTCACTAAGAAAGGAGGAAGCAAAGCACTCACACTAACACAAATACCTCCCCCAAAATCCTAAATAGCATTGTCAGTGGGAACAGAGAGCTCCCACCTCCACGCTAACAACTGCCTGCCGAGCTGGCTTCCCAGGAGTCCCAGCAACGCTTCACTGTGGACAGCTCTCTTTTCTAGATCAAGTTTCCCTCTTTACACACCAAAAAGCAAATATTTTAAGTGAATTATTTTGAAAAAACTATCTTTTTAGAATTGGGCACAAATTCTTTTACCTTCTTAAACAGAAAACATGGAAAAAATTGGACTTGTCTCTGCTGGATCATGAAAATGACCCAGTCACCAGGCATGATGTGTTATCTTGTGTCACATGGTGACTCCAGGAGCAGTGGTACCAGGATCTCCTGGGGACTCCTTAGAAGCATGAATATGGGGCTGGCGCCATGGCTCACTTAGTTAATCCTCCGCCTGCAGTGCCGGTATCCCATATGGGTGCCGGGTTCTAGTCCCGGTTGCTCCTCTCCCAGTCCAGCTCTCTGCTGTGGCCCGGGAGGGCAGTGGAAGATGGCCCAAGTGCTTGGGCCCCTGCACCCAAATAGGAGACCAGGCAGAAGCACCTGGCTCCTGGCTTCAGATCAGCATAGTTCCGGCCGTAGCAGCCATTTGGGGAGTGAGCCAATGGAAGGAAGACCTTTCTCTCTGTGTTTCTCTCTCAATGTCTATAACTCTACCTGTCAAGTGAAAGAAAGAAAGAAAGAAAGGAAGAAAGAAAGGAAGAAAGAAAGGAAGGAAGGAAGGAAGGAAGGAAGGAAGGAAGAAAGAAAGAAAGAAAGAAAGAAAGAAAGAAAGAAAGAAAGAAAGAAAGAAAGAAAGAAAGAAAGAAAGAAAGAGAAAGAACCACGAATACACAGAACCTCCCGGACCTACTGAATCAGGTACTGTCGGAGTGGGGCCCAGCAGTCTGTGTTTTAATGAGCCTGGCAGGTAATTTTGATGGTGGCAAAGGTGTAAGAACCCATGTCATCCACCCAATGACCCTGACCTGCTGTGCTTTAGAGTTCTCTATATGTCTTCCATGGGTGCTCCTTCTACTTGCCATTGAGTTATCACTTATTTCTGCTCTGCTCATCATGCAGCTACCTTCACTGGTCCTTCTTTCCTCTAATTTGCTGTATCTAACCTGCTACAAGCCTAAACATTGGTGGTCCCAGTTGGTACAATCATCAGCACACCACCAACAGGTAGAATGAAATGACACAGGAACCGCTTCAAGGAGCGGAAAAGCACCACTCTGAGGAAAGCCCGTAGCTCTAGAACAGAGATGCCGAGTATTTATCTGGGCGGTTTTGGAAGCCTTTCCTGCTGACTTCCTTAGTCGTGAAGTATTTACTTGTGTTTATTCCTGATCAGGAGAGGAGGCTGCTGCATAAGTAAGTTCAAGGAGACTACATGGCTACTGTCATCTACAAGTAAGTCACTCAGCAGTTATCTGAATATCCTTAGCATAGCAGAAATAACTCCCACTCATTAAATATTTGCCATGAGCCAGGCATCATACTAAGCATTTAGTACCCACTATTTAACTAGATCCTCGCAACATGAGCAGGTATCATCAGTCCGTTCTGGATGAGGACAGAGGCACTTTGCTATAGAGAAGCCTAAGATCCTAGGGCTGTTAAACGGAAGCATAGCCAGAACTCAGATATGCTGGACTCCAAAGCCTTCCTCCTTTTAAATATTTATAACAGAGACAGAAAGAAAAGAGAGAGCGAGCGAGTGAGCTGAGATTACTGGGCCATGTGGTAAAGAGCAGCCAGGATTAAATTCAAAGCTTAGAAGAGAAACAGAGAATGAGACAAGAGA